CCAATAAGCGATTAAAGTACCAGAGATGATAAGTTGTTTTGTATTCTTTGTAAGTTTCACTAGATGCAAAGAATAAGTTTTACTTGAATTTTAAATTTTTGCGTTTTATCTTGTGACCACAGTAAGCGTCAATGAAAAGCAGTAACTCGCATTAATATGTAGAGATAACTTTTAAGAGTAAGCAGTTAGTTATAAATAATTAAATTAGGTAATTAGATAACCTTAGTCATTATGGATTTACATGGCCACTATTAAATTTTATTTTTTAACAATATTTGTTAAAAAAGCCTATTAAAATCAAAATCTAATAAAATTTCAGTTTAAAATACATGTAATTTATGACATTGATTCTTAAACGATATTAGGATACACATTAAAAGCTACAAAACTTCCTTTTAAAAACATTTATGTTTTGTAACAACACTCAACAAAATATTTATCCTTCATTTTAATTTGAAGCCTTTCCAAACATTTTGGCTAGTTTATATAGATTTCTTTCTCTTTAAGCATCTTTTCTAACAATTAGAGAGTTGTCTCAATATGCAAACCAATGCTCTCGCTAGTTTCTGCGTGCTTATCTCCTAACTTGTCAACATCTCCACAAGGTACCTATGAGGGTTTACTTGATCTGGTAAAAGTTAAATAGTCCCAAACCCCTGACTGAATCATAAACTGAAAGGGGTGAAATTATAAACAATTGGGTAAGTTACATAATAATAACTGCACATATCTTTGAGGAGTAATTTTCTTTATGTACTCAGTTTCTTTCTTCAACACGGTTCCTTTTCATTTTAGAATTTTTGGATCTAATTATTTCTGTTATTCTAAAAAACACTAAATGCATTTAGAATGTATAGAAAAAGTGGCTAATTCTATTTCTTTAGTAATATGAACATTCAGAAGAAATATGAAATATATATGGTAAAGCCCGGTTACAAAGCTGGTGTGGCAGAATTTTTAGAATTTAGTGACACACCGAACAAGAAAATCTACAAATAGCAAAACGTTTAGAATTTAGGATCCACAGAGATTGCATCAGGTGGGAAAATGCCTAGTGCCAGCTCTGTGTATGATGCATTAAGGCATATTAGATGAATCTTTTAAATTGTAAGTTTTCAATTTCTTTATTAATAAAAAAATCCCTTTCTATAATGCCTGCCCAGTGATAAGATTAGAAGCATTTTTGATATTTTTGATGCTTGTGTCTAGTGAAAGGTAGAGAAAATAAAGGGAAGATAAACATGTTAAGAAAAAGATTCTAGTATCAGGAGTAAAACATTTAAATATTATGTTTTCATTGTTCTTCCAGACGTTCTCCAAAAGGTAAGAAATTCATCGCAAACTTTCTGTAAAATGCATCTATTACGTGTCGATATCATGCAGACATTTTTCATTTTGTCACATATTTCTCAAATCTTCTAGAATCGTGGGTCTATAAATCTTGACTTCAAACCCTTCTAAACTTTCCAAGCTGCAATGTCTAAAATACTAAAGAAAAATTATCACTACCAATTCTGTAACAGCAAAAAGTCACAAATATTTTGAAAAAAAAAAAGAAGGAAGGAAAAAGTGTAAAATTAATTTTATAGAGAAAACTGATGCCTATTCTGAGAATTTTGAATATTCCGAGACAATTGCATGGGAAAAACGCTTACTATGAAAAAATTAAAAAGAAGACATTTTTAATTAATTGCATAGCTAATTTTGCTCTTGCTAAGAGCTGTTTCGTAAATTATGCTTTATAGCAATATGCATTATTTATCAGATTCATAATATTGTATAAGTTGCCAAAATGAAACTTTATAATATGACAGCAAAAAATAGAATGTTTTATTTTAATGTTATTTTTTATATATAATTTCAATATATTACCATTATTTTAATGAAATTTATGAATGTTATGATGTTTTAAAAAACTGGTTGAAAAATTGTCAGATCTCGGAATTAAAAATTTTCTATAGAAACTAATCCTAAAATCGCCAAAATATTGGCAAGTCGTCAAATTTAGAGTTGTTTAATAAAAGAATTCACATCCCCAAAAGCGAAAAGTTGTTTAAGAGTTCTTTATTAGAAAAAAAAAAATTTCGAAATGCTTATGTTTCACTTCTTGCTTAGAAACTCGAGTATCCCATCATTTTTATTAGAAATAGAAACAAATTACAACCCATGAACACATTCAAAAGATAACCATATATGTCAGTGAGTCACCAAAAATATTCCTCCAAAATGCTAAGTCACACTCAAAATGGCAGCCATAAAAACAAACAGAAATTTCAGATGATTAAAATTAAGGACCTTCTGCTGATTTTGGCCAAAGTTAAGGACTTTTAAGGACCAAAAATCAATTCCAAAAAATTTAAGGGCTTTTAAGGACTCTTAAGGACCGTACGAACCCTGCAATCTGCTGATGTGAATGCATCTGCATTACTTATTAGTGCAGCCAACTTTAGCTGATTATAGTTTTTTTTGTTCATGCTGTTCAACCTTACTGGCAGAGATAATACTTACTAAAGAATTGTTTTCCAGATATGATGTTTTAATAATAAAGTTGCTCAATTTAGGGAGCTTTTTTCTGTCTTCTGCCTGTTTTTTCCTTTTCTTTTCACTTTTGGATCCCACTTTTTTGTTTTTCTTATCCATTTAACTAATAATATATACATATATATGCTTCATCAAATTATTTTAATATTTCTTACCTACAAATTTTATTTTCTAACCCATAACTTATAAAGCAGTTCTTAAGAGTTTGTAGAGCTAAATAAGATATTTAAACTTAGCTGTTATGGTTTTGTATACACCAAATGTGCAAGTGTAACCTAACCAAAGCTAGCCTATTTAATTTGTGATAGAAAAATTTTTTTTTGGGGGGGGGCTATGCTTTAATACCTTTTTATGCTCAATTTTTAAAAACACAGTAAAAGCAAATACAAAATGATTATCACAAACAAAACAGATTAGTTTTTGTTAAATTATGCTTGTCCATTTGATGAATGCTACTATAATGCAGACAGACTAATGCCTGTAAACAAAAGAATTCATTATGCAGCACTGGAATTAACCACAAATGTGATAAGTTGCTGTGGTATTCAACCCTATTTCTAATTTTTATATTATTTGAAAAGAAGATAAACTCTTTTATAATTAATAACATGATTTATTCACAAAATTTTAAATTAAATCTGTACACATAAAATATCAAAGATGAATTCAGCAACAAATTTATGAAATTATTTAATTTTATTTTTGAATATTAAAAAATCACAAAATAATAGTTCTATAACTATGTCAGTAGAGGTGATCATACTCTCTAAAATCTCTTAGCCTTCTTTTAAACGCCATCTTACAATATCAGTTTTGTCATTCCTTCTCTTATGGGCATTACTCAAAATCATGAAAAGGTACTTTCCCTGCTGTATGGCATAAACTGCTCTCTTATATTATTCTATATCCATATCAAATTTCATTCAAATCTGTCTAATATTTTCAGAGAAGTTTGGGAGGTATTTTATTATTATTATTATTATTATTATTATCTCTTAATTTTGTATACACACAAGAGTACGCATAAATTCTCTTTGTTAAATGAATATAAACCACAATGAAGTCATTTAATAAAGAATGCAAAATTTGCAATATCAATGAAATTAGTCTTTTCCTGCCTCTTTTAAGGCTAGATACCTCTTTATTCCTTTTTTTTTTTTTTTTTTTTTTTTTAAGAGTTAGTTTAGTGATCTTCTAAGGAAGAAAAGAAAAGGAACTTTGCACATAATATAAAAGAGAAGAAAAAATAAAGCAAAACAGTATTTGGTAAAATTAGTGCATTTATTTAAAAGAAAAAAAATTAAATGAATATAAAAGTTAAAGCATTTCATGGTTCTCTATATGGTCAACAGGTAGATTCTCTTATGGGCGTTACTCAAAATCATGAAAAGGTACTTTCCCTGCTGTATGGCATAAACTGCTCTCTTATATTATTCTATATCCATATCAAATTTCATTCAAATCTGTCTAATATTTTCAGAGAGAAGTTTGGGAGGTATTTTATTATTATTATTATTATTTATTCTCTTAATTTTGTATACACACAAGAGTACGTATAAATTCTCTTTGTTAAATGAATATGAACCACAATGAAGTCATTTAATAAAGAATGCAAAATTTGCAATATCAATGAAATTAGTCTTTACCTGCCTCTTTTAAGGCTAGATACCTCTTTATTCCTTTTTTTTTTTTTTTTTTTTTTTTTTTTAAGAGTTAGTTTAGTGATCTTCTAAGGAAGAAAAGAAAGGAACTTTGCACATAATATAAAAGAGAAGAAAAATAATTAGTATTTGGTAAAATTAGTGCATTTATTTAAAAGAAAAAAAATTAAATGAATATAAAAGTTAAAGCATTTCATGGTTCTCTATATGGTCAACAGGTAGATTAAAATAATATTTTTTATAACTTCTATTTCTCATGTAATGCTTTTCATGAATACAAATATCGTATCACAATGACATAAACAGAATTTTATTATTAATATAGTTTAATTCTGTTTCATAGTTCAGATCTAAGCCTCTATCAGTTAAATATGTTAAATATTTATGATTTGATTGATAGATCACTGCTAATATATTAAATAAAATATCAGTTACAGCAATGAACAATCTAACTACCTGTGTATACAATGAAATATGACATTTGGAATCTGCAATGATTTTGTCAATAATTCTACTTTGGATGATTAAAAAATTTTTGTTCAGTTTTTGATCAAACATACATATGAACTCTTAAATACTTTGACTTTTAAGAACTTTATACTAAGATTAACCCTTGTAAATTCTGTAGAGTTTCAGTAATCAAATCTACTTATGTTTATTAGAGAGAATAGTTCGAATCCTTAAATAAAATTAACTAATCTTGAATGAAATTATGAATTAAAATATCTCGATATAAATTAAAATCATTCACATAAAAGCTGTTACAAAAATTAGTTTTACTATAACATGAAAGAATACCTTCATGATCAGCGTCCCGTACATTTCTCTTGGATAACCGAACTGGACTAGGCTTTGTGTCTCTCACTCGCATAAGTGGAGTTCTTATCCGAAAAGAGCGTCTTTTACTGCTTCTTTTAACACTATCTATGATAATAACCTCTTGGCTTTCTGGTGTTTGCAAATTACGATTAAGATCATATGGAGACACAATAACATTTTCCATGTCTTGTTGAAATGAAACTAACCTAAAAACATGTAATGAATGAATAATTAAATTACATTCATAACAAAAAGTTGAATTTACTACATCGCATACAAATACTATTTGTATTTATTTTCAAACCTGGAATTTTCTTTATCTTCCATATTTTCTTTTCCGGTTTCTTCCTCAGGTTGATCTTCGACAAATCTATAAAGTCGGCTAGAGCTATCTTCAAATTTAAGGTTGCCTTTTGGAACTACACTTTCAAACAGCTTCTTTTTCTCCATCAAAACTTGGCATACCTGGAAATTAATATAAGCATTACATTTTAAGATATACATTTTTATTTAAATATACATTTGAATTTATTTTTTATGGTCTTTTATACATAATTAGAGGTGTCTAGGATTTATACAATAAAGCCATCTAATTTTTCCAAGATTATAATATATTGATGAAAATTTGAAAATGTAATAAATTTCATAAGAAGGCAGCATTTTATGGAAGCAGCATCAAAAATGGAAAAGCAGCATCTATTGATGAACTATGAAAATGCATATTAGAAATGCATTCAAACAAAATCAGTACTTTTCTGTTTTGCCGGTGCAAATCTCGCCGAGCAGACTTTATCGGCGGCAACGTACAGTATACACATAAAAAATGTTAACAAATATTAGTTCTTAAGAATTTTTTATGTTGAAGGCATAAACATTTTAATATAGTTTAAAATTTTGTAAAAAGGCAATATATAAAGACAATAAATTTATTGATTATTTATTTATTTATTATTGACTACTTACTTAAGAATTTACTATGCTTTTATAGTTCAACATCCTGATTCACCGGTTCATATAACGTGACCCCAAGTGATCTCATCTCACGTAAACACTACAAAAATCTAATTATCTACATTAATTTAAAGTTAAATCTTAATTTCGAATACAAGTTTAAATGAAAGAATTATTTCAGTTTGTACGAATAGCTTACTCAGAAATTATGTAAAACCTCAGTGCTTTACTTTAGAATGTACTTTACTTTAGAAACCTCAGTGCTTTACCTCAGTGCATTTTCATTAGAATTGAAGAATTTAACCCTTTGCCTTTTCTGTATTTTCGCCTTCGGGTGTGCAGTGTGATTGCATCCTAATTGACTTAATTATTACGAAGGGCCAGGGCTTTGGGGCATAAAATTGAACTATCTGGTAAAAATTATATGTAATTGTATGCCAATATTGAAAGAAACAATCAATCTGATACGAAATGGCTGTGACTTTTTTTAAAAATGAGGTGCAAAAGGTTGCCAGTGAAGATATTTTGTTTGGTATCAGTTGTACCATTATTGGCAACTTTATCGCCTATGCTGACAAAACGGAAAAGTACCATAAAATCATATACCACATATTACAGCTGCACGATTCCTTTGCTGCAATTAATAATGATTGTACCTCAGCTTAGAAATAAGTCCAGCTTGATATATGTCTTTGTTTGGATTGAAAACCTTTGTTTAGTGTATGGTATTTGTTTAGAATAAGACTCAAGTTCGATAAACCATGAATGAATGTTCTCCTTTGTTTACCTCTTGAGACAATGCTGAGATTGCCCATGAAGATCAGTATGCCTGCTGATATCATTCAGTGAACAATGCATGCTATACCTTTTAATTTTCACATGATTTTGCTTAAATTTTTAGTAAATTCGTTAACAATGAGTTTTAAGAGTCAAACAACAAAGAAAATTGTTAGGATCACCATGGAGGTAAAAGGAGAGATTGTCGAACAGAAAATGGTGGCATGCATATCATCGACTTGGCTGTTTCATCCTATGGCAAGAAGATGGTATCTATGATTGTTAATTATAAAACGCTATTAAATCAACTAATTTTGCAAAAAGGGATGAAACATTATTAAACAAAGATGAGAAACATTAAAATATGTTAAAAAATTGCTTTTGATCTGGATAACACAAAAACATTTATATACAGTATTAAATAATGATGTAGTATTCAATCTACCACCTTTTTGTTAGTTTGTTATTTCTTAAATGGTGCCACTAAAATGTTATATGAAAAAATATATAAATAATTAAGAATACATAAATGAAAATAATTCCATTAATTAGTTTAACAACCTGTTAAATGTTTAATTCCTTTATGTTCCTTCCAATTTTACAAAACAAAAGGTGTGGCCCTTAAAAAGGCCATTTTTAATATTCAGTACATTAGATTTATACAGTCATTTTATTAATCACATGCATTATGAATGTTGTGCAGCATAGCTGAAAAATAGTTATTTTTATTAAAATATTTTCACCACACTTTTGTGAGATAACGAGAAAGCATGCTGTGCAGAATCTTTAGGTTCAAAATCTTCCAAGACAATTCAATTGTTTGAGTATTAGTACTGTGCACAGGTCTGATAAAATTCTTTTGGTAGTTTTTGATTCAATAATGGTATCCCAGTCAGTCCAGACCCTTATGAGAAAGGCACTCATCATTCACAATCATAATAAATAATCAATTAAAATTGATACTTTTCAATGCTAAATCGAATTAATCAATATGCTAATTACGATCGCATACTACATCATGACTAAATTTTCTATCTTTAAAAATATATTATTAATAGCTACCTGTATAGCCAGCTACCCAAAATAGTTATTATAAAAAGAAAAATATATAAAATGATTGCAATTTCATGGGCCGAACTTGTAATTAATTATCATGCAGATACTAATTAATAATCATACATATAATAACTACATTTATTCTTTTAAATCGTTTAGTGTTTTAATCAATAACAGACAGATTCAATTTGACAGCAAAATTCTTTGCAAAATGACACCTTACTTGCACATGAAAGATGAATGTATTTTATTTTAAATAGTGACAATATATTTCTTTTAAGTCACTGAGTTTGTGGATTAACTTTGAAATGCGCAAATATCTTATGCTTTCCCGAGTGGCAAAAAAAATTTTTTTAATCGCTTACATTTTCCAGGTTGCAACACATTGCTTTTAAAATGTCAAGTTTTTTTTTACATCAAAATGCCACTGAATTTGCTCAAAATGTGAAATAAATAAAAAGCAATTGCAAAATTTATAAGTGCATATGTTTGGGCGAAGGACTATGTGTTCAAAATTCAGTGGCTCGACATGCCACCGTTTTTCCACTATGCAAGAAATACACATACATACAGATTCTATATTTAATGATTGAGATTTATTTTTTTGTTTATTTATCTTTTCTCTACTGAAGATGAGCCCCTCCGATTTATGGGATCTAGACATTTCTTTTATTTCTCTATCAGTTAATTCATCAGATGCTGAATTATCTGATATGATTAAAAATTGGAAAGTGCAACTACAGTCACCTATAAGTGACTCTAATATAAAATAATAATGGAATTTTTAGCAATATAAGAAATTAAGCATAAAAAAGAAAATTTTGTGCAAAAATAACCCAAGGAAAAGATTTTGAATCCTGTTGCATACTAGGAACTAGTAAATTATATAAGTAATTATTTTCCTTATTTGATATTTAATTTATGGAACTTAAATTATCCATGTCAAGATTGTCTTCAAACGAATATCATAAATTTCTTCCACTATCTTTGGAGACAGGCAGATAATAACCGAGATCCTTTTCAGCTTACTGCATCATGCAGTACAGGTAAAAACCAAAATTAAAACTGAAGGTTTCATATTTCTATTATATATATGTCATATTATTATTATGTATATGTCATTATTAATATATATGTCATATTTCCTTATACTTCTTATTTGCATACAAGGGGAAATTTTTCTGAAGTTTCATTAGATAGAGATTTAGCAGGTAAAGGTTTAAAAACTAAAGATTAATTATACATAAAGAAGATACCATCCCATAATTACCAAACTTGCACGGTCATTTTTAATAGAAAAGAAAACTTCCTAATTAAAACAGACACCCCACAGATCTTTGATAATATTTAAAATTTATATTAAATTTCTCAACTTTGCCAAGTTTTGCGAAAAATTCTTATGGTTGCTTTGATAAAAAAGTATCTGTTTAAGTTTCTCTAGATGGTTTTATTTGGCAGTACAATATTCTTCAAAGCAATATTTAAATTTTTCATTTTTAATATGGAGTAAAAGTAATTATACTTTGTTACAATATAATTTTTTTTTTTTTTTTAAATTCCATTGAACAATGTTATCTGATGCATAGCAGAAACTGGTAAGTAAAAGAGCAATAGATAACTGTAGTCTATTTAGTCATCCATTATACAACACTTTAGGGAAATAAAATTGTTCAGACTATGTCTTTTTAAGACCGGTAAAAATGATAATAGAATAGATTATTATATAAGACAGCAGTATACTTTTTATACCATATCTTAACAAACAGAAATCTTTTGAATTTCAAAATGTCACTAAAACTTACTTTTATAGCATTAGTTCTGTCAATGCGCTGAACATCAAGTTCAGAACATTGCTTTAAGGAGGAAAAAATGACATCCACCAGATCTTCTCCATTAAATACATTGTCATAATTCTTCAGAAAATGTCTTTGTCGGCAAACTTTTACATTTGACACAGCTTCTTTAATCAATTTCTGCCATAAACGTGTTGCCCAAAAAGGATCTATAAAGAAATGTTTGCAATACTATTAGTTAATTGTATTACCATTATTATTACATTAATTATTCATTATTACATTAATTACTATTATTTATTATTAAGATCTATTCCATTAACCAAGCAAAATTACTTCAGTTAAACTTTTCATTTTTGGTTAAACCTTAAGAATTTTATAAAAGAAACTGACAACACAATAACAATAATATAGATTTAATACAGTAAGTAATAAAACATAAATATTGATGCACAATGCTGCAATGTTAAATGGAAATAAATGCAGATTAACTACCTTAGATAACATTTAATAGAAGATGGCAAAGAGCTTTATTTATTGTAGCTTACTGTTATTTGAATGTAGCAAAGCACATGAGGAATATATGCCTAAGGGAAGGGATGCCTTCATAAAGGAAATTTCTAAAGGAAACTGACTTTTATTTATGTTGCACATGGGAAAAACCAGGAAGCACATTTCTCCATGTGCTCATATAACACATGAAGAAAAACACAAACAAGGCAGCACATTCACTTGTGGTTATACCTGGATCTAAATCCCAACATTCAGTGATCTTTATCACTCGGCCACTGATGGAGCCAAAAGGTAGAAATAAGGCTTTTTATATGTATGCTATCTGATAATTATAGCAAACTTAGCACAATAATGATAAATGACAATTTAATTTTAATACATAACAAGAAAGTGCAAACTTTTTTAAAGGTATCCACTTTGAGATTAAAGCTGAAAGGAAGATCCCGCTCCTTTAATACAAATCCTAATAATTGTAACTAATAACACTGTTTCCTAATAATTGTAACTTAAAGTTCATTAGTCATCAAACAGTGCTGATCAGTGACTTGCAATCACCAAACAGTGCTGATCAATGAACATTGTGTGAATGTTAGAAAGTAAGGAATGAGGTTACGAATTTCCTTTAAGATGGATTATTGACATGTACCATGATGTTTGCAGTTTCTTCAAGTAAAAACAAATGATTAAAATTAAATGTTTAATTTTATTTGAAAATAACAGGTGAGAAATGCATGATTAATGAACTAGGTATAGATCAATCTCTAAAATTTATGTGTGCTTGAAATGTGGAAACGATATGAAATTGAGTGAAAGAAAATTTTTAATGACTTCCACAAAGATAAAAAACACATGTAGTAAGTCTATGAAAAATGAGTCTTGGAATAATAAATTTAAAAAAGTGGGTATGCAAATATTAAATATATTATGTAGTTATTAAACATATAGATAAATTTCAAAAATGTGCACCAGCATAGCAGTTTAACTGCTGATTAGAAGGCATTTTCGAATATGGTTAAACAAATAGAGTACTTGCAAAATTTGGAATAATTGTTCTGCTTATATAAAAGCAAATTTGGCAAAAACAAATATTTTGGAGAGCTGCAAGAAAATGGATTATTCTACAGCTAAACCTGACTGAGGAAACAGTAACAAATATGATAATTTAAATTCTTAAGGATAATATTTTGCATGCAATTAAAATAATTTCAGATGGTTGAAAGTTGCTGCCCAGACAGTATAGTGGTTAGAAGAGACTATTGCAGAACCAAAGGGCCTGGGTTTGAATCCCGGGGAAGGCATGGTTATAACTGTCATATGAGGCAACAGTGTTTGCGTATTAGGTGCCTCCACAATAAAATGGCCACTCTTCTGGCTTTAGGAGTGGCCAATGCTGAATAGGCAAGTGTCCATCATTATAGCTAAAAAAAAAAAAAAAGAAGATTGTTGGAAGTATTATTATTCCTCATACAAAAGCTTTGTATGTCACATCATGAATCATACAAATTCGACTGAAATAAAAGTAGTGTTGCAAAGAGGAATTAGTAAGATTCTCAACAAGTAACAGAGAACATTAATTTACACATGGTTAAATATTATTAATGAGAAAGTATGGACAATTCTTCGAAACTCATTAAGGCTATAGAAATTGTTTATGAGGTAACTATGATTAAAAATATATAAAATTCATTTATTTTTACACTTTGATTAAATCTTGTTTTATATTTTATACTGATCTATAATTTCAGAAATTACCCTTTTGGTTTTGTGTAATTATGGCAAAGCCTTTTGAAGGCTATCTGCCTAGGGGAAGGGATGCCTTCACGGAGGACTTCTGAGGGAAACTGACTTATATACACATTACACATGGGGAAAACCACGGAAATGCCCATGCAGCCAGCCCATTTGCAGGATTCTAACTTCAGGCCTAACTACCAGTGTTCAGCGACTTTACCGCTTGGCTGCCATTAGGCCAAAATAACTTTTTTTATTCACAGGGTTCGTACATGCTTCTGTACATGGAAATTAAGTACTTTTAAGGAAAATCAATGAAGAAAATTAAGCATTTATAAAGCAAATAGCAACTGAATAAACCAAAGCAATTATATACTCCTGAACTTCACTTTTGTAATTTGTAAGAATAAAATAAATCTGTAAGTAATAGAATGCATTATTATTAAACTTAATATAATATTTAACTTAATTATAAAATAAATTTAAGAATAAAATTAACTGCAAAATTTTTTCAAGTAATTAGCATAAAATTATAAAATTTCTTGAAACATTTATATTTTCCAGTTATAATAGTCCCACATATTTTAAAGAAAATTAATGGCTTTTTGTTTAATTTGTACTAACAGTTAGCTATACACTGACTTTTTCCTTTTATGCCTTGTTTTGTCACATACTCGCTCAGTCCAGAGGTATACACAATTTCATGCCAAATGGCATAAGGGTTAGTCTATATTTTAAGGTACCCCTTGGAGTTGTTGCTTCATTTATGGTAACCTTAGAAGTTGAATATTATGGAAACAGTATTATGATGTGATTGTTTGTGTGATTGCGGTGAATTTTATTAATGGGAAAACATTTATAAAGGCTTATTTATGTGTTGGATGTTGGTTAGGAAGTACATTGCTTATTTTGTGATTTATTCAATAAAATGCTTGTTGGTGGTACAATTAACCTAAAGTTTCTATACACTTTAGAATGATTGGGAAAGAAAACATTGATTTACTGGTATGTAATATGGTATGTGTCTTTGTTCACCTCTCGGTAAATTAAGCAGCGAGATTTAAGGATTTGGAAACTGGAGTTCATATCAACACTACAGAAGGTACATGGGATATAATAAAATGGAATTTTTGAAAGAAATACAGTACGGAGAATATTTTTCATTTTTTACTTTTGAGAATTTATGTAGCAATGGCAGTATACAGATTCTAGTTTAGATCATTTTAAATACCTTTTGGATGCTGTTAAGGAATTCTGCGTGTCTCACATATCGAAGAAACAGAAATTTTTAAATAAGTCAATATTTCCTTTTTATATTGCGGAAATTACATAATATGTATTTCCATTCTTATGTTATTTCCTTGTTTGATTTAAGATGCAGTTTATTGAGATTATATATTTTTTGTTTTAATTATGTTTTGAACGCCACTTTACTGTGGAGGACACTGAATATAAACAGGAATGGCACAAAAAAAATTGCCAATTTTTGCCAAGAGGTATCCTGAAATATATATTTAGCCAGCATAAGTTAAATTGTGAAGTAAAATAATAATCAACATAACTCATAGGAGAAGCTGTTGCCACCGCAGTTGCTTGATTAGAGAGAGCCACTGATCCAAACAGATATGAATGCCCGAGACTGATGAATGTTGAAAGTTGCACTTTGTCTAACCCAGTTAATAGTTGTGTCATAGCTTTGAGTAGATTTGCTGAAGTTGCTTTGAAAAGATTTTCTGAACTGACCCAGTTAATAATATTTAATAAAGTTCCAAAACGCTACTGAAATATCAGAGATGATAGGTTATATGTATATTTTAAGTCTCGCTAGCTGTAAGGAATAAGTCTTTACATTAATTTTTACAGTTTTGCATCATATCCTGAATACACAATAAAGATTAAGGAAAGGAGATAAAACTTCTAAGTTAGTTATAAATAGGTAAATTACATAGTTAGATATACAGTCAAAAGTCGTTAATCCGGACTCATCGGGACTTCGGCGATTCCGGATTATCGATTTTTCTGGATTATAGATCATCAGTTTAAATCTGGTAAGATGGCATGCAGAAATTACAAAATTAAAAATATGAAACCATAATTTATGAAATAAAGAACAATTATGATCTAAAGAATATCAAAATTTACAAAAAGAAAAAGCTTTTTTTGTTTACTTTATTAAACATTTCTTTCAATGTAAGTTGTTTTAAGTTGCTTCGTTTCATGTGATAATACTTTCTCTTTAATTCTATTAAACAGACATAATTTCTTGTTTAGTTAACAAAGTTCCGCTGTTGAAGTCCTATAATTGCTGTGTTGTGAATACCGACTAATTTGTCAATCGAAATATTTTTGTTTTCAATAACCTCTGGGTCACTTTCTTAACTATCGGAAGCAAGATATAATGAGAAGGAACTTGATTTAAATCATATCAAAGACGGAGTACATCGAGATCAAATACTACATTTAGTAAGGAATTATAAGCTAAATAAAATAAAAACATCTGCCCTGAAGATAAGGATAGTGCTGACAGCGGCGCGAAATTGATAAACAGATTTCGGATTTCAAAACATACTTTCGCTTTGTAGATCTTTTACATATTATTAAATATATATTGGAAATTCTATTTGACATAATCGAAAGTTCAAGCTTACTTTTATAACGTTGCTCTAACAGTCTGCAAAAAATAATAAGCCGGATCCAATTCAAAGATTAAGGAACAACGCAATCTGCAACATTAACTGAATTAGATAATTTTAGCTTAGCTTATACCGTCCGTTACACATTAAACGCGCATGCGCACACACATATTCGCAGCCGTTAAGGTCTTACCCGCACTCGTAAACGCCTATGCGCATGCGTGAATGCGACACATGCGCAGAAAGTTTGTAGCTTTGAGGTCCAGATTATGGGTGTCCGAATTAACGACTTTTGACTGTACTTAGCCATAATAGATTTAACATTTTTTTTTTTTTAAATTTCTAAAAAAACCCATTAAAGAAACACTAAGAACATTTTGACAGCAGTTATAATTTATGATAATGATTTTAAAATGATATTAGTATAACTAGCTGTGTATTCAGGCATTAAAAGCTATAAAAAAATGTTTTGTGGCAACAACAACCAAATTATTTGTGTGTCGTTTTAACTTGAACATGTTCTAGATATTTTAGCTAATTTAGATCAATTCCAATATCATCTTTTCTAAGTTTATTTGTTTCAATAAACAAATCAATGTTCCTACTAGTCTCCGCTTCATGTCCTAATTTGTTAATATTTCAACAATGCACCTTTACAGAATAATTTTCTCTTCCTTTATAAAACCAATTTTTTTCCAACAAATTTCCTCTTCATTTTGGAATTTTCAAATTGATTAAAAATATTTTATATTCTAAAGAACTGCTTGTACTTCGAATGTATAGAAGAAACTGCTAATTTTATTTCTTGAATAATATGTGTACTGAAAATAAACATAACATTTTATATTTATTTATAATAATATATAATGAATAATGATAATGGATAATGATACAAGGTCCAAACTGGTGCCAGAGCCAGTGTGGCAGAATTATTATAATTTAGTGAAGCAACAAAATTTAAGGCAAAATTTTCAGAATGTAGGGCCGGTGCTGAGGTATGTATGGGGCAATGACATAAATATAACGAATCTTTTAATTAACTGTTGGTTTCCAATTTCTTTGCTTTCTTCATGCTTGTGTCTAGTGGAAAGATAAGAAAATAAAGGGAAGATAAACATATTAGAGAAAGATCTCTGAGACTGAAAGAATTCAAATAATTTGGTTTTCACTCTTCTTAAATTTTTTTTTTTTTTCAAATGATAAGAAATTTATCTCAAATTTCCTATAAAACCTGACCGTTATGTGTTAATATCATGAAGATATTTTTTCATTTTGTCATATTTTTCTGGAAATTGTAGGTCTATAAGTCTTGCCTTTAGACTTTCCGAGGTGCAAGATAAAAAAAAAACAATGAAAAATTAAAAAGAAAGAAAGAAATATTATTCCTATCAACTCTGTAAGAGCAAAAAGCCAGATGATTTTTTAAAACAAAATTCATAAAAGAGAAAGGTAAAGTGAATTTTCAAGAGAAAACTGATACACATTTAAATATTCTGAAACAATTACATGGAAAAAATATATATATATCTACATATAAAGATAAATGAAATTATTTTTTAAATAATTAGAGTAGTTGCCTTATTTCTAAGAAGTGTCTCAGATACTATGCGAAATCAAAATATATCTAAGTCATAAAAATGGAAAGTAATTTGAGCTCCTGAGCAGCAAAATCCCCTATTTCAAAATGCTGTCTCTAGGAAAAAAAAAAAAAAAAAAAATACTTATAGATTCTATCCATTCAGTCAAGAAAGATTTAAACAAATTAGAAACCTAAATAATGAAGCAGTTTCATCTTAACCGTGGAGAATATTGGGAACATTTCTGATATCGGGAAATGATTAAAAAATACTCGTATGTATGCTCAAGTGTGTGTATATGTATGTAGGTATGAATCTGAGTGTACACAAACACACATCAACATACATATGTACATGCACACATGCGTACATTTCTGAATCCGTTCCCAATAGCAGAAAAGTACCGAATATTATTCAAAACTTTCCTTTGTCCTGGATAAATTATACATTATCATTAATTCAGTTAGCCTTCATTTTATTATTTAGTTTTAAAAATGCATTAGTATAATTAATAATTTGTGACTATTTTATTTATTTACTTTTTACATTTTAATTTATTTAAAAACTAGTGATTTATTTATTTATTTATCTTTATAATACCCACTGATTTTCCATAGTGTTCCAGCACTTCCAATTTTAAAAATTAAGCTCTCGATACAGGCAAACATTTAGCAACACAAAGAATTAGCATCCCTTCCATGTGTAAACTAGGTATTAATTAAATCTCAGTACTACGTGAATATGAAAGCCAAAATTTTGTTTTCTATCCATGGAAATAATATTCCACTACGAATTAACCTTTTAACTGTCATGCCCAAGCACTGGTGTTTGAAAATGTCACGCCTGAGTATTTCTCGGGGTAATTTTTTTTGAGTGCATCGTATTGTCATACCCGAATATATATCGGGAGATGTTTATTTCGGCTACATTTGGTTTTTCCAATAAAAAAAATTTGACAATTTGTGTACCCAAATCATCAAAATAACTTGACAGTTAAAGGGTTAAAAAAATTTGACAGAAAGACATATATTTGTGTGACCTAAAACAATAACAAAAGCAATTAATGCATTTCCCAAGTAAGTATGCTAATTCATATGATTTTAGAAGCTATTAATTGAAACACATATTTCATGAAATCATTTAATGAACAATAATTCGAAAATTATATCTTATAATTTAAGACTTTATAAAGTTTAGAACCATTTAACTGTAAATCAGCCAGTCTTTAAATGTATGTAAATTCAGTTTCTTAATATCACAGTTAATGTGATTATCTCATTAACTGTGATATTAAGAAACTGATACACACATCAGATTTCTGAAATACCACACATCAGATTTCTGAAAAAGAGCTGAAATTCAGGAATCCTATACACTATGTGATAAACATAAAAATATTTCAAATAATGTGCAATCTATCTTTACTCAATAACAGTTCATTCTTCCCTAAAGTGGGTAACAGAGGATCAGAATCAATATTTTGTTTTCAGTCGTAATGTTTTAATCACTTGTATACTAAAGCAGTATGAAACTGTTAAATTAAAAATACAGCAGTACTAAAATTTAACAAAAAGTGATTAATGCAATTTTAGCGGAAAAAAAAAAGTCCGTTAACAGCAAGAAAGTAAATCTCCTTAAATAACATTATTGGCATAGATCGATACGAAGCGCCATAAATTGAAACCTTGCTTTTTTAATCCATATCGTGAAACATAATTTGATACACAAACCTAAACGACGAGCACTAGGTTGAATTGTTGACAACGATTCAAAACTCCCACCACAATCCTCCATTTGAATCGAGATTTAATATCATTCGGAGTTGAGTTGTTTTCAGCAAAAGATCCCTCTTTGTTTTGGTCCTTTGTTTTGGTTTGAAAAGACTGCTTTAAAAATAAAGGTGTTTGCACGGAAGAAACTTTTGATGTAGCACCAGAGTGCCTGGGTCGAATATCATAAGTAGTTTTCGAAAGATAGAAAATAAAATAACTTTCATTCTGCACAGGACGTCCGGAATGAGGTTTATCTGTTTTTGGACTCGCGGCCACCAAGTTTCTGGGCCGAAGACTTTGAAAACTTACCAAAATGTTAGCAGAAAAATCATAGATTTCGGTGGTGACTACTACCAGCTCTTTTAAGGTACTGCTTTTATGTTTTTTTAATTATTATTATTTTCTAACTTAATAAGAACCTTTTTTGGCGAAAAACTTTCGTTACAGCCAGATATTTTAATTGTTTTTCAAGCGTAATTCTCCAAATTTAGGGATGCATTCTCATGTCTTTGCCAAAGCCCTTTCCAACACACAGTACACTTTACCCACGATACACAAGGGGAGTGACATTGATAGTTTGTTCAAGGACCTCACTGAAAATATACAAAATGCTTATGAGAAAGCACAAGTTGAAGTTAAACCTGATATGAAACACAAACCTCAACAGCTCAGATTATTGATTAAAGAGAGAAATGCTGCAAGACGAGCGTATCAACGTACCAGACACCGTGATGATAAAAGGAACTTCAATCGCCTGTGCGAAGCGGTCAAGTTTCTTACAAATAAACTCTCACAAGATCGCTGGACTAACTACCTCAGATCTCTTTCTGCAGAGGATAACTCCTTGTGGAAAGCAGTGAAGAGGTACAAAAAATGCTATAACGCCATTCCGCCCCTTCACGGCCCTCAACGGATCCATTACACCGGAACTGAGAAAGCAGAACTTTTAGCTCAGCATCTGGAATCTCAGTTCTGCATTAACAACATTTCAGACTCAGACACTGAACAGCTTATTGCTGACTTCCACTCCAATTTTACAACACAGCCATGCACAGACAACATTATCTCAGCCATGCCATCGGAGGTCTGTCTCTATATCATGCGAATTGCGAAAAAGGAAGAGCCCTGGAGTAGACGGGGTCACAAATGAGATGATCAAGCACTTCCCTTCCCTGTCAAGATAATACTCTACTTCACCAAGTTAGTGAATATCATACTACGATGGCAATACTTCCCAACCTTGTTGGAAAACTGCCAAGATTGTCCCTCTGCTAAAGCCCAACAAGCCTGCGACTGCTCCTGAGAGTTACCGACCAATCAGTTTGCTAAGCTCAATTAGCAAAATCGTGGAAGCAGTTATTCTACATAGACTAAACATCTTCCTGGATGAGCAGAAGATCCTCATACCCTATCAGTTTGGGTTCAGGCGTAAGCACTCGACAACGCATCAACTCTACAGAGTTGTTGAGTTAATAAGCAGTGGGATGCAACAACATCGTGTCACTGGTGGACTTTTCTTAGATGTCGCCAAAGCCTTCGATAGAGTATGGCTGGATGCCCTCATATACAAATTACACAACCTGGGACTCCCAGGCTACATCACAAACATAATTAAATCCTACCTAACCGGTAGACACTTTGTCGTTCATGTTTCTGGTTCATTATCCACAAACCGGCCTATACGGGCTGGTGTTCCACAGGGATCCCTTCTGGGCCCTACCCTATTCAATATTTACGTGAACGACATCCCCACTACACACAACACAACACTAGCCATGTATGCAGACGACACAGCGATCCTTACGCAAAGTGCATTTGTTAGTTCAGCAATACAACAGCTACAACACACCACATCGCTAGAGACTTGACTGACCAAATGGAAAGTCAAAGTGAATGTCGACAAGACACATGCCATACTGTTTACTACTAAGAAGAATTTCCCGACTCACCTGCAAATGTATGGTGTGGACATTCCCTGGGTCAAGCAGGTCCCTTATCTTGGGGTGATCCTCAGTAAATCTCTTACATGGAACCCACACGTTACACATATTCTCAGGAAGTTTCGAGCTAGTAAAGCTTCACTCTTCCCCTTAATTGCTCGAAACAGTGTTCTATCTATTGATAATAAGTTGCTCATTTACAAAACCATGTTGCGTCCAATTCTTAGTTATGCATGCCCCGTCTGGGCATACTCGTGCAAAAGTTTGAGAAGGCAGTTACAAGCTGCCCAAAACGGGGTATTGCGTATGATATGTAATGCCCCCTGGTACATTCGGAATAGCCAAATTCGTAAAGAGTTAAGAATAGAGGATCTTTTGTGATTTTTATTGCCGCCTATCTAGGGCATTTTATGATAAACAGGAACTTCTGGACAATCCTGTGGTTGTTAACTATTGTTATGATACTAGGGACCCCAATTTCAGTAAACGCCCAAGGGCGATCCTAAATGTTAGTAATGTGTAATTTTGTATATGTGTTATGCAAATTGTTGCTCAGATTCTTTATTGTATATTGTTCTTTTTTTCCTCCTGATTGCATTTTTTTTTACTAGTGGCACTAAGGCGTCGCACTTCGTATTTTGTTTTCTTTGTGTGTACATGTATTCTTCTGTGAAATAGTTGTTAAAAAAATAGTTAAGTATGTATGGATTAGTAATTAGGTACTTAAGGTAAAAATAATGTATTTAACTATTAGCAATTACGAATTTAAACCCTTACTCATTTAATTATTTAGCACATTCAGTTATATTTCTCATAATTCGAAATTTTTATCATGTTATTCGATGAGGGTTAGGACTATGGCGCCCAGGCACCCTGGTGGTTAAGCACCGCAGTTCAGTTTAGGGATTCATTCTCCAACAACATCGCGGTGGTACTTGGGTAGATAATTACCCACGGGACTGGCACCGTCAAATCATTTTTCTTCTGTGCTTACTTTATTTGCAAACTGACAGAGCAGGTTATTAACTCCGTTTCTTTTAAAACTGACAAAGCAGAGACTCTATTCTTCATTTATCATTTATTATTTTCATTACAAAGTGTATTTCAAGTTTAAGTGTTATTTTTCACCCGGCAAAGCGGGTAGAGACCTGACTACCTGACTGAGCAGGTTTGGACTTGGTGAATTTTATTATGTACATACATATATCTTCTAATAATTCTTCTTAATGCCTACCACCCCTCGTGTAATGGCAAAGTTGAGCGCCTTCATCGAACATTAAAAACAGCATTAAAAGCCCACAACAGCATATCTTGGACGGACACATTACCAACAGTACTTCTGGGTTTGCGTACTGCTATTCAAGAAGATACAAATCATTCTATTGCGCAAGTAGTTTATGGCCAGAGTCTCAGACTTCCTGGAGAGTTTTTCAGCGAACCAAGTATCCAGACAGCATCGGACACTTTTGCTAATAAATTCCAGAAACAGATGGAAGTTTGTTGGACCTAGACTAATTCGTAAAAATTCATCTAAACGGATATTTGTACATAAAGACTTAAAAACTTGTTCTCATGTGTTTCAGCGAATAGATCGGGTAAAAAAAACCTTTGGAACCTCCTTATGAAGGACCATTTCCTGTTATTGATCGCAAGGACAAATATTTTACTCTTAGCATAAAAGGAAAACATGTTAATGTATCCCTAAATCGCTTGAAACCAGCATATATTTTAGCTGAGGAAAATTCCCAGTTGATACAACCCGACTACAGTAACTTACAGAGACCGAACTCAAATTCCGATGTGAATCAAAAACATTCTCGCACAGGCAGAACTATACGTTTACCTGTTAGATTCAAGGACTGACTAAATTATTCTGATAGTGGTTAACTATCAGAATAATACTAGTTACTACCTATTTCTCCATCTTCGTAACTTAGTTACTGGTGGGGGAGTAGTGTAGTGGCCCAGTTATTGCATGAGAAATAATTATTTTTTATTTCATATATTTGTTCATGTGTTTAATTATTTTATAAAATTAACTTTGATATTTTGTTACTATTCATATTTATATATCTTTTATGGTGAATGGCAACTAGTTTTGATTCATGATTGCTGGGGTTTTGGTTTCAAAACGTTGCTCGTAGTGTCACATTTTGACAGCTGGAGAATAAAATGCAATAAACTTAGCTATTTGTTTATAATTCATGCTGTTCCTAATCATAAATTAATTTTAAACATTAGTAGCCAAGGCCACAAATGTAAATTTAAAATGTGTCTTCAATAGGAAATGATACTTTCACAGTGTTACTGCTGACCGAAGTCCCCTATAAAAAAGCACGAGCTTGTATTTATAATTCATGTTTACAATTAAAGACTAGTGTTCGCTAGATGGTGGCACTCATTCATGGATTCGCCTTTTCAGTTGTGCTAAGCCTTAATTGTGCTCTTGAACTTTGAAATACCTCCAGCGCCTACAACATGTATTGTTACATACATATGTGTACATAGACGTTCTTTGGTAGAAGCTAAGGAAGAATGTGATATGATCAAGAAACTGAAGAAAATAGATATGTTGGATAGACAGCTCATTCTTGGAGTGAAATCGAGCAGATAGTCTCGTTCGTTCCTGGATCATTCCAGAAACGAATTTCATGAAAGTAGAGCAGAGACAGAAATTATGAAATAGCCGACTTAAGAAAATTCCAGGCTGCGAAGAAGTTAGTAATGGTGATGTTGAAGAATGGATGGGACAAGTTGAAAGTTGCGAAACTTAAGGACATTCAGAAATAGTTGCACTGGTGAAAGACAATGTGGATAGAAATGAAGATGAATCAGAAAACGAAGGCAAAGGAAAATCTAAAATGATGACCTATAGCGAAGGACTGAAGGAATGCTCCATTATATGGAGAAGCAAGGTGCATCTGGTATGGACATTTTGTTCTCCGTCGCTTACGGGATGAAGCTGCACGATGACGGAATGAGTGTGAGAGACAATTTACCATCACACGATATTTTTCTACGAAGAACTACTAATAATTTTTCTTCATTTTTGTATGTAATTTTTTTAGTCAATTATCTTAGAGTATTTGTTCTTTTTATGCCTCCTATTGCGCTAGAACTTGACATAAAAATATCAACATTAATTTAATCGTATGCTGTACCTTTCCCGAGTCCAAATTGTGCTACAAATGTGTTGAGTAATTTACAGTTAAATATTAAGAGATAAACCCCCCTTCTTCCGTAAAACTCGATAGTCTCTCAGTCCCCATTATATCAAGCTTGCGGGACTTTACTGTATAAACTTAGTGAAAACTGACTGTTGAACACACAGGCTTGCTCAGCACTGCAGCGCTATTGTCGTACCATAAACAAACACTTTACAATTGATAAAACAGTATGATTCTGTCCAGTTAGTGTAAAAATTATAGACTCCTTTTCTTTTACTTGAGAAAGTAATTTTGGATTAAAATGACAATGTGCATCGAAACATGAAGTAGAAGACATCATAAACAAAAAGGAGATTCATACACTAAAGTTGCAAACATATAATAAGCAAAGAATATAACAAGGCATTTTGGGAAATACACCTGAAATGGGGGTTCCTCCTCCTAGATGGCTCCACCATGCACAACAAATAATTACACTCTGTATATAGTCCCATCTACAGACAGTGGCATATCGTATAGTACAAGGAGACTTTAAAATATTTTAAATGCTTGAGTATTTCACATTCTTACTTCCTTATATGCAGTAAAGGAAGTACTCTAATCACGAAAACATCTGGGTATCATATTTCACCGAAAATATCCATTTTGAACGCAATCGAATGCAATTAAATGATGTTTTTCCATGACATCTGTACGTGAAGACAGAATAAAGGACTTTTCCCCCAAACGAATTATAAAACTGATTTAAAAAAGGATTCAAAAGAGATTTTTTCATGACGTCTGTACATATGTATGTATCTTGCATAACTCAAAAAGGAGTTGCCTCAGAACATTGAAATTTTGTATATAGGACTGCTACAACATGTAGTTTTGCATCTCCTATTTTGGTTGCAATAGCCCACACCAAAAATATATATATAGCTCTGTTATTCGGCTCCGTGAGTTCAGTTGTTTTTTAATTTTATATATTGGAAAATTGTGCATTTTTTTGCTTTAAAAATGATTGAACTATGTTATTCTTATATTACGGTTAAGGTTTTTATGCCTTTAGTTAATCTGCATGCTATAGTTGTAGAATTATCAACAATTTAAAAGTTGCTTAAGTGTGGCTAAGCTTATTTATTTATTTATTTATTTTTTACCATGGCAGCTATATTTGTTTTCATTTTGAAATTTAGCAGAATAGTAAATTAATAGTGCATCTTCAGTGTCTTTTTGCAGAGTGGGACCAAAAGGAAACTTAGTTTTATGCAGTAAAAGATCTGCGTGCTGGCCGAATCGCTTGTTTTTGCCCAGAAACTGAAATTTTAATTATAAAAATTGTTTGAACTGCTTTATCTTTTTCTATATCTTTCAATCATTATTGAAGATATTTTAGTTCTTATGAATTTTGCCTTGCTACAAAGAACTGAATGTGAAATATATCTCAAATGAAATTCGAGGAAATATGTATAAATGAAATGCAGGAAAAATGCATATAATTTAATATTCTGTACAAGGAAGTCATGTGGTATACACACCAGATTTTTAAAATATTTAATAAACAACCAATGATTTAACAAACAAATAGAAAGGAGGTATGCTGAATCAACCTTATTTGGTGTAATCTCCTTTGGAAAGCGCAGCATTTTGTTTTTTGTGTCTGCTTTTTCTATTAAAAGATGCAGTCAGTAACTATTCGTCTTTGTAAACGAAAAGCATTTGGAAGAAACCAGAAAAAATTACTACATAGGAGAATTCCCAAAGGCAGAGGAATTCTTTTACAACTTAAAAAAAAAGGAGGCTGATAAAAAAAAGTTTCATAAATGCCCAACTTCAAAATCAAATTGCTACTCAGAAGAACAAATGGCAAACGAGTGCTTCAGAGAATGTTATGCTGCATACAGTATTTACTAAATTAGCTAAGTAAATTAGTAAAATTATTAAAATTAATTAATTAGTAAAAAAAATTAACTCTTAAAGGCCACAGAGAATGCATGTCCTGCTAGCAGTTGGGACAAGTAAATAAGATGCAAATTGAACATGTTTCTTGCCCTTTCCGAAGAGAAATATTCCTATTTCATAATTAAAAAACATTGTAAAATGCATGGTATTAATATTTATAAGTGCAATATAAGCAACATCACTAATTCAAAAAGAAAAAAACTGTCAATCATTACTTCTACATGGGAAGAAGATTCCTAGCGAATATGCAAGAAAAGTATACTGTTTCTAAAGTTAAATCACTGGTTATATGAGAAAAAGCTGCTGATGCAGAAATCAATTGCAAAGTCTATAAATACTTCTGTAGCAACAATACATCAAGATGTATAACTTTAAAAAGCTAAAAAGTAATAATGTTCAGCAACTTTTGCTGAAGCATGAAGCTCAACACAGAGCAATTTGTGGAATCTTGTATGGAAACTTTTCAGCAGGAGATAAATGAAAATGCCTTCTGACCCTTGATTAAGTACAAGTTTATCTAATTGACTGAACTTGAAAAAGGCCTATTTATTACCTAAAATGAATAGAAAAAATGTACAAATTTGCAATGCAAAGAAGTTTCAGTAAATGGTTTATGATTGTTGCAGGATTGTCTAACAATGGGAAACTAAAAATAGGAAGAGTGGTAACAAAATGTTAAATTCAAATAATGTACTTTACTTTTAAGTTATATTTACAGAAAATATCTGTTCTTTTATCACGATATTTACAGACAGAAATCCGATATTTACAGAAAAAATTCCGTTCCTTTATCCCAATGACTTTCAAATAGTAAAACTTCATCAAGTCAAAGCAAGAAGTCATACTTCGAAAAGTACCACTGCATTCTTTGAAAAAATGAAGACTGATACAGATCTTGCATGTATACCTTTTCAACGCATTCCTACGAAGTCCCCTAACATTTCACCTATGGACTATTGTGCCTTTGGTCTCTTGAAAAGAGTTCCTTCTAAATGCATATCCACCATGATTGATAGATCTTGGAAAGTAGTAGGAGAGGATTTGAAATCAATAAGCCCTGTATATTTTGTGAAAAGACCTTCTAAGATGGAAATCATGATGGAGACTTAAAGTCAAAGAAAAAAAGCTATTAGCTTTTGCATTTCAAACATTAATTAAAAGGGCTTGAAATTGTTCTAAAAATGTGTAAACACCCTCTGAAAAATATTTTTAACTAATAATTATGATAAATAAATGATAAATCAAACATTTAACTTTTTTTTTTACTTGACACACAATTTATGATTTAATACATATTGAATATATATTCTTTTGTAAAAGCATGGATGTGGCGGAGCTGAATAATATCATGGTCAAATCAAAACATACTACACAATTCTCAAAACTGATTTTTAATCAGATCTTTAATTTTTGTTAGATATACAACTCGTACAAATTGCAATTTTTCGACAAGAAAAGAAATACAAAAATAGATTATAAGACACGTTTTCAAAAGTTGTTTCTTTTGGTTCCCTCCAAACAGCAGTGCCCACAAAAGATATAATTCCAAAATGCCATCCATAATAATTATGATAATATAATAATAAAAATATGATCGTATATAATATACCTTAATACATAATCATATAACAGAAAAATATTTCATGGAAAAACAGATGCATATGCATCCAAAAAATTCTGCTGGAGCTAACTTATCTTTGCTGCAAAGAAGAATTGTTGATAATCAATAAAAAATGGAAAAATCAGTACGGACGTCTTCACACCTACACTGAAATGAGAAAATAACACTATTAATTTTTAAGAGAGTATTTAACATTAGACAAAGCTTGTATATAAATATATGCTGAAAATGAAATAATCATAATATATTTGACAGAAAATTATAAATGTATTAATCCACATCATCTTTTGTATCCAAATTCATAGTGGAATAATCGCCAATAATAAAAATTACATAACTGAAATTATTAGCAATAACAAAGCTGCATGCTAAAGTAAAATCACCAATTTAATACAAGTTTGCATAATATATATATAAAAAAGGGGGGCAAGGGCTGCACTGAACTGCAGGTAGCATCTTTAACTGGATATCCCATCATTTTGATAACCGCCATGAGAAAAAATTCTGACAAAAATATTTAAATATAGTGATTCAGTTAATTTTCTTTTTTATTTAAAATTTGGGATGTTGGAAATCACTCCATTCAAAATTCAGCACATATCATATTTAAAAAAAGGCACGGGTAGCTTTATTTGCATTAATACTGATTCTTATAATACCAAAAAATTATAAATCACTTGCTATAGAAAATATTCAAATTTGGTATATAACAGCCATAGATATATGCAAATTCCATAAACTAATATGCATCAAAACAACAGACAATTTCTTTAATGCATGTCATAACTCAGTAACAGCTTTGTAAAGAAAAAAAAAAAAAAACATGCAGAATCATCATCTGCACTAAAGCAAATCTGATAATGAACAATACTTTTCATGGCATTCTGACAACAGCTGAATTCAAAGGATAATAATTATTTCCCTGTCAAGTAATACATAACAAATTTTTGCAACACATGAAACACCAATTTTGCAAGCAAATAAAATCTGTTCTAAAAAAATTCAGTATACTTTATAAGATTACAAATTCAGTAAGTGACACATGTATTGTCCTCTGGATTAACAAAACATTAAATCATACATAATTTGCCAATATAATGACATATGCATGAAAAACATTCTATAACAAAGACACATACATGAAGTATCAAATTATTATAATTACATACAGGACAGGAGACCATCAATAGAGCAGCTAAACCATCATTCCAACTTTCAGCTTTTGTGCTCTATTGATGGATACTATCTACCATTCACAATCAGCAACATTTATTAGATATCAAGTTTCATAAAGTTACAAAATGTAGACAGATATACATAAAATAAACATATCATACAGATCTTGTATTGAGTACAATAATGACAGGTTTACAATAATGCACGTTACATAGTATAGAGAAAAATATTACATTTGTTGAGAATGTATATTTGCAAATTTAAACATAATTTTAAAGAATATCAGAATTGCATAATAAAAATAAGCATTATACATTTTTTGAAGAATTTAGACTTAATTAGTTTAGAATGTAAATTAATACGACAATATAAATTTATGACTTAACTACATATAAAATATAAAATACTAATATATGCAGTTAAGTCATATGAACATTAATATTCATATGCCTTAACTACATATGAATAACTAAAGCATTATAATATTGACAATTAATAGGAAATTATATACATAATTAAATTAACATATCACAATCTGAAAGATTAATTGTTTTGATATCAGGAAATAGGCAAAATATTACTTCAACGAAATTAAATATCTTCAATAGAGAATAATAAAAATGATATTGATATATTAATATAAGATAGGAGAGAGATACTATTGTTTTTGAGAAAGAAGTGTAATATAGTTAATATTATTAATAGAAGAATAGAGAGATAATGTTATAGATTTTTAAAGTGTTATATAGTTAATATTACTAACAGAAGAAAAAGGGTATAGAAAAACATAGTATAGAGAAAAATATTACATTTGTTGAGAATGTTTAGAAAATGAGAAGAGTAAAGGCCTGTCTACACGCAGCGATTTCCTCGGCCCACAATATCTGAGATAGCTTGCTTGTTCACACGGAACGATTTTCTCGTTAGTACAGGAATTTACTCAGCCAATCACTGTGAAAGGAAGCATTCCCACCCTCTACAGAGTCACACTGTCTACGATTTGTAAACAAAGCTTATGGTGTTGTCAAATAGTCAAAATAATGGATGACTATTTTACTTTAAATTGCTACTATAGATACAGCTACAATTTTGAACTTAGCTACTGCTACAGAAGGGGGGGGGGAATGCGTTTGGACCAAAAATTGAGTCAAATGACGAGAAATTTATAGTGCTTTCATAATACCCTGCTCCGGGAATTGCATATTGAAGACACGGTACAATTCAGAAAGTATTATTTACGGATGATGCCGCGTTATTTTGATTTTTTGCTAAATTTAGTTTGCAGCAAAATTTTTATAAAAATATGCTTTTTCTTTGTGTACTGAGCACATAGATTACTCTTTTTTTAAATATTTTATTTATTTATTTTTAAATTTTATTTTCTGGCACTCCTATTTGTGCACTTAAATCTTGAAATAATAAAATAACCATGTTTTCAGAAAAATAAGTAACTACTGTGCTTTGAATCAAAACCTTTATTAATGAATAAATAAACAATAATGTCATGAATATCAAACCAGTATGAGTAAAAAGTAGTAATAAAGAATAAAAATTACTACATTACAAAACAACAGTGTAACTTCAGTGCAAAAATTTCAAATAAGAAATATCATAAAAGTGCAATGTCTTAAGTAGTATATATATTGAACATTAAAAAAAAAAATAATATCAGCATAATTAAATAACTAATACAGTTTGAAAACTATGATCATATGACTCTATCAGTTAATCAGCTAATAAAATTTAGCAATATTGTATTAAATTGGGCTGTAAATTGTTTTCGCAAAACTCAATTAACACAAAACTGAATTTGTGACTTGTGACTTTCTTTTGAGTTGGTACGCAACTATTAAAGTTTTAACCAGTAGATCTAAAACATGGGCCAACGGCCACTTGAAGAATAAAAAGAAAGGCGTTAAAATTCAATAAGCACCAAACCCGCAGGTTTTCGCCTGCGGGTGTGGTGCTTAGGCGACAAAATAAAACGTGACTTTTAAGTCATGCAGTTCGAATTTAGCAATGGAGAAATGAAATTGAAAAGTCCTTGCAGGTGCAGAAAGTCCAAAATTAAGGTGGGGGATCGAACCAACGATCTCGATGTAAGGAGAAAACCTGCTATGGTCTTTACCACTGGGCTATGATCGCTTGCATAGGAGGTGTCGGAAAAGCTATGTGCTTCGTCACCTGATTAAGTCCCATTTTTGGCAAAGTCAATGAGTCTCTGCCCTGCTTTAAAATGGACCATAATTTTTTGACTGGAGATTCTGCTTTCTGAATTTTTTCAAAAAGTGCGACCACAGTTTCAAGTAGTTTCTGAATATTTTCATCTAGTACCCATTACACGGCATCATTAATAGTTTCTGAAACTTTTCTTGGGGGGGGGGTAAAATAATTTTCACCCTGAATAGAAAATATTTGAATATATAAAGTAATGGGGAAGACAAAGTTTACCAAAATAAGAGAAACCCTTAATTTTTTATTTTTAAAATTTACATTACTCGTGTCCCAGAATACAACATTTTCATTATAGAAACCTATTAGTTGAAAAATTTGAACTTGATAAAGTAATGGGGAAGACAAAGTTTACCAAAATAAGAGAAACCCTTAATTTTTTATTTTTAAAATTTACATTACTCGTGTCCCAGAATACAACATTTTCATTATAGAAACCTATTAGTTGAAAAATTTGAACTTCGCTCCAACGAAATGCAGCCATGTTTATTATTCCAAATGAGGAGAAAAGCACGTGATCACTCAAAGCAATCTTGTTGGCTAGAGACTCCGATTTTATTGTACGCTAGTCAGCAGTGAACACCAGTTCTGAAATCGCGGCAAAGAACATGACCGATTTTTGGCACATGCGCAGATCCTTAAAATTGTTGCTTTACGAGAAAGTCGGCCGAGAAAATTGCTTCATGTAGACAGGCTTTAAGGGTAAGTATTAGGAGAAGGAAGTAAAAAGATATATTCAGAGAATATAGAGAAACTTAGCTATGGTGATTAATTATAATCCAAAGTAACATAATAACAGAAAATTTTCAAAACTATGTTACAGCATTATGATAACATTCTTGCTAAATCAAGTAAAAATATAAATAATATTAATATTACACAATATCCAGTGAGTAACAAGATCGGTAATATAATATTATAAAACATACACTTAGCAACAAGTCACATACACTGATGAACTATTAAGACATGTGAATATGACAGATAAACTATAGTAGAATCAATTAACAAGTAATACAATATTAGCAAGTAATGCAATATAAAACCAGTAATATGTTATTTAAATAATATATTACTGGTTTTATATTGCATTACTTGCTAATATTATAATAAATAAATAAAAATGTTCTATACAAGTGGTATTGTCTAATGGAAGTGATAAGATAAACGGAAAGATCATTGATAAGAAGTCTGTAAATTCATAGTCTTTGAAATAAAGTCCTTAAATATAAATTTTAAAATTTCATAGTCTTTGTAAAATTATAAGTGTAGTCCTGGAAATGGATAGACATTTGAGTTTTGAAGGTGGTTTGGAGAATGAAGATATTATTATTTGAAGATAATTCCTTTAATAGGCTGTTCTTGATTTGATGTAATCAACCTTAAGTTGGTATGAAGGACATTTTGCATCATCTTGCATAATTTTAACCTTTTTGTGATGTGTATCGAAATTTGTGTGATTGTGAATGTTGTTGACTTGGCAATTAATGCAAGAAGGGTAGTTTTTGGCACTGATGTTGATGTCGTGCTCCACAGAACACACATTGTATCCTGTTATTGCAGAAATTATAATTATGTGTAAATTCCTGACAATCAAAACAGCGTTTGATTCCAAAGTGTGCAGTTATTCAAATGAATTTCCATCCTATTGCTATTGTTCTTAGTTTTTGTAGGCTACTGAAGGCAGAAGATGAGCATTCAGCAATCCATTTCGAGGTGAAATCTGTATGTTCTGAAAGTTTGTGGACTAGAGTGAGGAATGACTTGGCAGTTTGGTAGTCGATGTAAGTAAATTGATAATATCTTGCTCTGTATATTTTGAAGGAACATGATGAAGATTACACCACAGTAGTCTAGGTATTGAGATTTTTAGTACAGTCAAAAGTCGTTAATCCGGACTTGTCGGGACTTCGGCGATTCCGGATTATAGATCATCAGTTTAAATCTCGTAAGATGGCATGCAGAAATTCTAAAATTAAAATATGAAACCGTAATTTATGAAATAAAGAACAATTATGATCTAAAGGGTATCAAAATTGACAAAAAAAAAAGCTTAATATTTATTTGTTTACTTTATTAAACATTTCTTTCAATGTAAGTTGTTTGAGTTGCTTTGTTTTATGTGATAATATTCTTTTTAATTCTATAAACAGACATAATTTCTTGTTCAGTTACAAAGTTCCGCTGTTCAAGTCCTGTAATTGCTGTGCCGAGAATACCGACTAACTTGTCAATCGAAATTTTTTCGTTTTCACTAACCTCTCTGTCACCTTCTTCATGTCTTTATCCATTTTTTGCAGCCATTCCACTTTTTGTTTGATGGACATCGAAACATACTATAGTTTTGTAGATCCTTTGGGAGCTCCAGCATCGGAAATTCTATTTGACATAATAGAAAGTTCAAGTTTACTTTTATAAAATTGCTCTTACAGTCTGCAAAAAATAATAAGCAGGATACAACTCGAAGATTAAGGAACAACACAATCTTCAACATTAACTGAAATAGATAATTAGATACTTTTAGCTTATCCGTCCATTATACATAAAACGTGCACGCGAAAACGTATTCTGCGCTTGCGCACACGCATATGTGCAGTCGTAAAGGTCTTACGTGCACGCGTAAACCCCTATGCGCATGTGTCAACGCGGCGCATGCGCGGAAAGTTTTTAGCTTTGAGGTCCGGATTATAGATCATTTCCGGATTATGGGTGTCCGAATTAACGATTTTTGACTGTAGTATTTCTTTGACGGAGCTGTTTAATACCTTTTCTTTTAGCAGATATACATCATTATTATTGTAACAGGAGATGGCAATGCCACCACGTCTAAGTACAGTTATTTTAGTAAGATTTATGTTTAGGTTATTTAATGGTAGATTCTGATCGAGATCTTCAAGGAGATTTGAGGTTGTATTGTTGCCTTTAGGAAACATTAGCAAACTCGGTAGCTTTTTATTGGAGACGATATCTTCATCTTTGTGACAGTTATCTTGTGCTATATTATGAGAAGGAAGAGATTGCTTGTATATAGTAAAGTGAACTGAATCATTACTAACAGGAAATTCTGGATGAGATTGTTCTTCAGTTTGTGAATCTTGAATTTTGCAATCAGGAGACAGTTAATGAATTTATCCTCTTTTCAATCTGGGCGGAATTGTTCTTCACTTTGTGAGACTTGAATTTTGCGTTCAGGTGATATTTGAAAGAATTTGTCCTCTTTTGACATAGAATTATTAAATTTGTTTGGAGAAAATCTGGTAGGAGAAACTTGTGCAGATTTTTTATCGACTTCATACTTTTTTTCCAAATTGATTAATACGGCATTTTTTAGGTTCTCGAAGATATTTTTTAAGATTTCTTGTAGGTTTAATAGAATGATGGTTTTCTTTCCTTTCTTTGCTTTTAAAAGTTTTATACCTTGATTGTAGTAATTTTCGATTTGACTAGCACGTTCTATCATATTGAAGATAAGGTCTTGTAATTCCTGGATAATAGACTCCAAATTTAGGTCAATGTCAGAATTATTTTCTGAAAGAGTGTCTATCTGACTCATTTTGAGTGTTGGGTAGATAATAAATGGCAAAAAAATGTATGACAAAGTAATTAATGCAAAGCTGTGAAAATTATGAGCAGTAACAGATCCTTGTCAGATCTTTTCTTATTTATAAAGACTAATGTAGTGTATTATATTAAAATAACGATTATATGACTGAGAAAGTAAATTACAGGTAAAGTAGCAAACTGTTTAACGTATTGTGAAAATAATAGGTAAAACTATCTTATGCAAGTTGCGAAATTAGAAGGAAAAACTTAAATCTAAAAATAGTAACTTCATAATATAGTTAGGCGAGATATTAATAATGCTTTACAGGTATGTATGGATGAAATGAATATTTATTTATATACTGAGTATTAAGGCAAGTGCAGTTTCATAATAAAGCATGTGCATTGTTAACAGTAAATTCTATGAAATTTAAATATTGAAAAATTACAAGAATAAGTAAAATCAATATAACTTTCAAAGTTTTATGAGCACAGAGATAAAATTTATTTGAAAAGAAAGAGAAAAATTTATATTATTAGGCTATTAAAATTTTAAATTTTCAACTGCAATAAGTGGCTAATAATTTAAAATGTAAACCTTTCTAGTACAGTTAATGCTGTTTTAAAGAGTTACAACAATGGGAAAAAAATTTTTTGAAGATCAAAATAATACTAAAAATTTAATTAAAAATATTAATTACTTAAAGAGGTTTGAGTTTTAAGTAGTAAAAGTTTTGAGAGAAAGAAACATTTTATTTTTAGAACCATTATAAATGTAAGATATAATAATTTAGAATAACATACTAGAAACAAGAAAAAGACTTAGATCTATAAGAACGTTAGTTAAAAGCTTCACTCGATGTTAATTAAAGCTGAAAATACTTTTAGTTAATTAATCATTAATGAAGTCTCACACGTTATGGAACTTGATATCAAAATAATCCTCGTCTCAAGGGCTCTTGAATGATAATATACTTGATGCGAAGTAAACTTTCCTTCTGCATACGAATATCCCTCAAACAAGAGCATAAAAATTTACAAAAACCAGAGATGGTAGATAGTAAATATATATCTATAATTACATGTACAAGGATTTATAGATAACAGACAAGAATCTCAAGCATTATTTAAAGCTACATCAGAGGAAAAAAACTCTTTAATTGGTAAAATAAAAGCCAACATTTTTTAATCAATATAATATGTTATCAAACATTATACTTTTGAAGAAAAATCAACATTACCAATGCTTATGTCCATGATAGGCTCAGTAGTTCACTTTTATATTTTAAATTGATACTGCAACAGTATGCATCTTTAAATGTCTGTCAAGATGATGTTGTCTACTAAAAGTTTTGTTACACACTCCACAAATGAAAGGCCGTTCTCCAGTATGAATCCTATTGTGCTCAGTTAAATGCCGTTTTCGTTTAAAATTCTTGTGACAAATTTCACAAACATAAGGTCGTTCTTCAAAGTGATGACTTAAATGTGTTGCAAGATCACTTTTCAAAATAAAAGCTTTTTTGCAAATTTCACAAAATAAAGGAGGTTCCTTCTTATGAAATAACAAATGTACCTGAAGATCATAGTTTCTTTCAGGCACATATGAGCAGAAGGGACAGCTGAAGACCCCCGTTCTAACTTGAGTTTGGTTATCTATAATATAAGAAAAAAAAATTTCAAAATGTAATATTTTATGAAAATATCATTACTTTAACAAAAATTTAACATACTTTATAATTTTTTAGCAAGAAATGTTTGAAACACAGTTTAAAAAAAAAAATCTCAAGAATTATGCCCAAATACATTTCTAATTATATTTTCGATTTGCAAAATTAAGATGACATTTCATAATTTATATAATATGATATTAGACATCATGCTTCTGAAGAAAAATCAACATTACTAATAAATACCACTAAACAATTCTGCAGTCTTATGTCAATTGCTTTCACAAACATCACATTGATATGGTATTAATTGGCATGACAATTTAAATTAACATTTAGATTATACTTTTTACACCTAAAAGATATGTTACATACTTCACAAACAAAGAGCTACTCTCCAGTATCAATAATTAGGAGATCATTAAGAACCTATTTCTACTATTGTTACAAACTTCAAAAGGGTAACACTACTCACTAGAATGAAGTTTTAAATAGGAATTAAGAAGAACACTCTTTTGAACAAATTTTTTATTACATGATTTACAACCACAGGATCATTTACCTGCATGATCCTTTAAGGATCAAGTATATGATTTTTTTTGCTGTAGAAGTTTTGTTACACATTTGGAATATCAAATCAAAGTAATACCCCCTACATGTTTTTTAAGGTTTCAAATTAAAGCTTTCTTTGCAAATATCACACATGAAAGGTGTGTGTTTAATTATGGCAAAGCACGCTAGGGCTATCTGCCTGAGGGGAGGGATGCCTTTCGTGGAGGACTTTCTAAGGGAAACTGGCTCGTATACACGTTACACATGGGGAAAACCACGAAAACGCCCATGCAGCCAGCCCGTCACACATGAAAGGAGAATATTTCTTATGAAATAGCAAATGCTCTTGAAGATTACAGCTTCTTTCAGGAGTATACCTGCTAAAAAGGTATCTGATCATTTCTTTTTTAACTTGAATTTGGTTACCTGTAACATAAAGAAAATTTTCATAATTAATATTTTAAGGAAATATTACATTTCTACGAAAAATATCACTGTGAACATAATATTTTACCAGCAGATGTCTTAATTTCTCATAGCATTAATAAAAACACTGAGTGGAGTTTCTTCCAGGTTGATGGATAAAATTGGGGAGGAAGAGAAAAAAAAAAAAAAAAAAAAAAAAGATGAAGAGTGATGAATCCATGAGGCTATTAAAAGGGATAAGTTTGTTGACTTATTTGAAACTAATTTTTTTTTGTGATAAAATGCAAATTAATTAACTTTCTCAAAAATTCCAGTAAAATATAAGGATGAGCTCTTTACTTATTGATGTGGTACTTTATTGATTCCCCCCTTTTTAATCAGTCTGGCACAACAAGAAAATTATCATTAAAGTTTATGATTTCATAAATACTTCCACAATTTGTACATTAAAATATTAGTTTCTAGGAATAAGTGATTGTTTTAAACATGCCCCAATTTATACAATGTTTTGTTTTACTTCTATTCTTTATCCATTCATATAATGGAAATATTTAAATTTATTTGTAATATAGTAGCACTATATATGAATTAAATATACGTTTAATAATATTACGAAATAGGTAAAAAATCAATTTCTTCCAGCTGATTTTCTTCCCCACAGAAGAAATATATCAACATTGTTGAAAATATACTACTTGCAAAACCTTACTTTTATCAATATATCAAATCTTAATAATAGAAACAAATGTGTCTGCAATTTCTCGTGAACTAGGCAATGTAGCAGAGAGTGAGGTTCAACAGCATTCAAACAATTATTTCTGCTATTTAGAATTCATCCATTCAAAATTACAAATGAGCTTATTGCAGTCAATAGAAAGGAATTTTCTATTTTATTCACATGATTTTTTTATGATGTAGGCTCAATTTTGCAATTTTTCTTTTTTTAATTCAGTTCCATTACCTGTTGTCTCTAAGTACAAAGTAACCAAAAAAGTTCTTGCCGTTTCTGATATGACATTGGAAGAGTGAACTCCAACATAAAAATAGTCGCCAAACCTGGCAATGAAGTGGTTAGGATGGGAGTCTGGGCATTGACCAAAATTATAAAGGCCCGATACATCAGTACTTCAAACGTAACTCACACAGCGACTGATTGAAATAGATGCATCAAAAGCGCTCATTCAGAGATTTTAAAGTGGGCCTGTCAGCAGAAGAATCAAGTCACGGAATTTGCCAGGCCTTTGGGGATGATGATATCGTTAATGAATGAATGGCTAGGCAATGGTTCCAGTAGTCCAAATCAGGAGATATGTTTCTTAGTGATGCACCATGCAGCAGCAGGCCACAAGCACTGGATGATCAGAACCTGAAAGCAGCCAAAAGGAGACAGTAGCCAAACATGTGGTGAGCTTGCTGCACACTTCCAGGTATCTAATGAAACAATCAGACTCTATTTGCACTGCACAGGAAAGGTATGCAAACTGAGCAAGTGGGTACCCACTCACTTTCTGATGCAAACAAGTAACAGCATGTCACTGCCTGTTTGTCATTGCTTACTCTGTACCGCAATGCATCTATATTTGATCGAGTACTTACCAGCAATGAAAAGTGGGTCCAGTATGATACACCCAGGCATTCCAGACATTGGTTGTCACCACAGGACACTGTGCCTCACACTGCGAGACCTTCTATCCACCCATGCAAGATCATGCTCTGTATCTGGTGGACTAGTCACCAAATGGTGGACTTGGAGCTCCTGCCAGTGGGCCAAACCATCCCGGCAGGCCTGTTCTCACAGCAGTTGGAACATGTGCATCAGGCACTGATGCATAAAAAGCCAGCATTGGTCAATCATAAGGGTGTACTCCTCCTCCATGACAATGCGAGGCAGCATGTAGCTCGGGAGGCCAGGAATACCATCCAGCGACTGGGCTGGGAGACACTACCCCATCCACCATACTCTCCAGATTTCATGCCAACAAATTACCACCTTTTCCATTCCCTGGAGAATCACCTTTGTGGGATATCCTTCAACAACCGGCTAGACCTCAAAAAGGCCCTGACGATACTTCTTTGCATCCAAGACTCCTGAGTTTTACCATGATGGTATCGCACAGCTAGCCACTTGTTGGCAAAAGGCACTGGATCCCGGTGGTGATTACTCTGAGGATTACTAGCGATTATTATTTGTTTTTTGACTTTTTCTTTCACATTGTCAAAAACAGCAAGAACGTTCTTTTGGTTACCTTGTAATTACGCTATTCTGTTTTCGATATGAACTGAAATTCAATTTCAAAATCAAAAGAACACAAAAACACACATATATGTATATTTGACCAAGAAATATATATATTTTACTTATATATTTTAATTAATTAAAATTCTAACTTAAATTTGCATTAGACCTTTAGCTTTTCATTTCAATATTTCACTTTTCTGTTATAGCTATTAACAGACAGCAACTGTTAATAGCAAACCTCTCTAAACTGCCTCATTTCAAAATTAATAGCCTCCAGCATATGATGTGTATATAACACTGGTGATGTATATGACTTTTCAAACTGAAACTCAAACAGCCAATAATAATTTAGAGATTTATTTATTAGTTAAATCAGTCATATGATTTCAAAATTGAAATCAACTCTAAATTAAAATTTTATCTTGAACACATAACACTTTGCTTCTCTTTCTAACAAAATGCTGCCACACTGTTCTTACAGCAACAATATTAAAAATGTAAATGTTATGTTATGGAAAAGAGATAATGTGTCAAGTTATTTGTGGCTGCATCATTTAAAATAAAAGGAATATTACTTAAATCTACCAAGATTGCTTTTCATTATAGATCTTTTATAGTCTGCTTTAGATCCTGTGCCATCAGCAATTTTCCAATTTGTTTGTATTACCCAGAAAAAGGTATTTGCAGGTGCACAACTGAGACTAGTTCAATTATACAGAAATTGAAATCATTTAAATTACGAGGGCTATCCAGAAAGTAGATTACGTTTTGGAATAAAAAAATAAACAAAGTATAGGAAACAAATTTTATTATACAGATGAAAGCCACACTCAAATACTACTTTTCTACATAGTCACCATACAATTAAGGCATTTATCGTAGCGATGTACGAGCTTGGAAATTCCTTCGTCGAAAAATTCGGCCGCCTGCGCCTTCAACCCAATTCGTTTACCTCTTCTTGCCTTCCATCTTGCACAAAACTTGTGGTAACCAAGCTTTTCGCTGATGATTTCGTGCAACAAAAACTTCGCGAAATTTGTGGAAAACTCAAAGAAAGTTCCGTTATTGTGAAATTTCGATTTTCACGGACTTTAGCATCGACTTTTTCGAGAAGTTCGGCGGTCACTATGCTGGGTCTCCCACTTCGATCTTCGTCGTGAACATTGGTTCGGCCATTTTGAAATCTTATGACCCACTGACGCACTCCACCTTCAGTGATAATGTTGTCCCCATACACTTCACGAAGCTGCCGATAGATTTCTATCGGTTTACAGTTTTTTGCAGTCAGAAACCTTATTACTGAGCGCACCTCGCAGCTCGCGGGATTTTCAATTAACGCAGACATTTCAAACCGTCACAGTATCTGAACGGAGCACAGCACGAACCTCTCACTAGCACGGCTAGATGCAGACTGAGCTGCGCAACGCTCTGACCCCAAGATGGCCGCGCTAGCCCCGCCCCTAGCGGACACAGACGGAAACGTAATCTACTTCCTGGATGGCCCTCGTAAAAGTATAACAGTGCTAAATACGAATAAAATACAGGTATAATGACATAAATAAGTTAAAAATGTGTTCCTTCTATTTCAGGAAGAAACCTCCTTCTTCAATAGCTTTTCATGCACCATGCATGTTCTGTTTAATTGTACTAATGATTATTTTAATTTTTGAACGTTTTCTGAATTCACTTATTTTCCCTCACATTTTCTTGCCAGGATGCAAACTAAGCAGGTGAACAAGAGTATTTAAACAGTTGAAACAAAAAGGTTAGACAGATCATGATTTCGCTAGTGAAGTGCATGTCTGGCTATTTCGTCCTCCAGCTGTTAATCTTAGTGGGGCTATGCATTCTGGCCATCTAGTTAATATATCGCCATTACAGGTTTCTGAGTCAGCCTGTTAGGATTAAACTTGAATTGTGTAGTCTAGTACTATTATTGCTAAATCACCTTTAAGTTACCGCCACAAGTAGTTACTGCTGTTGTACGCATGTAAGTCTGTGCATGTCTGTTAACCCGTTCACGACGAAGACACCTCTGTTACTGAAGCATTCTCTTGGGACGGCACGTTAACCGGATACATTGTCTTGTGAGGACGGGCAATTTGCGCTGCTAAGCCTAACTTTGGGAAAAAATTCTTATAAATTAAATCCAATTGTTCCAATTTTTGGTACATTATGAGAAGAACATTCAGGTAGTTGTCAGAATTAATTTTAAACCTTTATTGTTAAATTTTCCTTAAAAATTTTATAAAATACTCATTCTAGAATAATATAATTTTTCCTTTATCACACAATTAAATATATATTGAAAAATACCCAAACAATCAGAGATTTTATTTAACACAACACATAATTAAAATTAAAAAATATTAAAACTGTCTTTCATAAAAATTCAACGAAAAGGAAGCAATATTTCAAAAACGAGACAGTGTATGATATTCTTTGAAACATGGGTGTACGCAAAGTCCAATGTTGCACAGGAATAGAATATCAGCAAATTTGACTCATTTAGCATTTGTGTATCTTCTACAGTAAGATAGTGCTTTCGTTTTGTCATTAAAAAAAAAAAAAAAAAAAAAAAAAAAAAACATACAAAACGCTAAGCCATACAAAACATTCGTCTCAATGCCGGAAAAAATCTATGAGTAATAAAAAAGTCTGTAAGGACATCTACTCCAGTATATGGGGATAAAAAAAGAAAAACAAATAAAATAAATTATTTAAATTAAAAAGTATTCGAGAGCATCCAGAACATGTTCATTTGTTTATATGAAATGAGGTAGTAAGAGCCATTACGTTACTTAACACTAACGAATTAGCATTTGTTTAAATTCTTCTAAGTTCAGATACCCATATCGCAAAAATAAAAATAAAAGTACCTCAAAGATGGAGAACACGTGCATTTGTTTATATCAAATGACCCAGTTAAAGAGACATTACATTGCTCAATACCCAACCACGAATCTCCCTCTCATTCCAAAACAAAATACCAAAAATAAAAAACATTGCATAGGAATGAAGGTACACATACTTAACTTTTGATATATTTTCCCATAACAGACATACAGCTACATCTAGTGGCAACAAAAAATACTAATTAAACATTCTATCTAGAAAGTCAAATGTGGTACGCCTGGCCATCGAATGAATTAAATGGCGATTCAAATATGACACACCCGGCCGTGAGGTAATGTTCCCTGCTAATGCACATATGACACGCCCGTACTGAACAGGTTAAGTAGTTCTGATTAATAAAATGGTCTTTTACATCCTTTCTCTGTTCATCTTTATGCCTGTGCAAGAATTCACAATGGTTTGTCACTCAAGTAGATCTAGTCCTACTGTATATTAGCCAACATCTTATAGCACAAGAAACTTGAGAACCCTACTACCACACATATTTCTGCTTTTAACTCTTCCCCATAATGATTATCAAACAAATCTCTTATTAACCTAAGTAAATATTTACAACTAATATATAAAAGAAACTGAAGAAAAATACCAAAACTATATTTTTATAATACATGTTTGACTTGCAAAATAACAATAGATATAAAAATTTCATAATCAGTAGCAGAACAATATACCTATGGCAAATCATCCAAGAAAATTTTTTCATGCAAATATTTTGAAACAATATCAATAGATATGATAGGGAACAGTTTTAAGCAAAAGTATGAAATTCTGAGTTATACACAGTTAAAAATTAATGTAAAACTACTGATAGAATTATTCTAAATTCAAGTACTAATATACAGCATTCAGAAAAATCTTATTAATTGTAAATAATAAATTTTTTATAAAAATTATTAACTGCTTAAATTACAAATTATATCAATTACATAATATGCTGTTGTTACATATGGCTTTATTGGAAGGATCAATCCATACATATAAAACAGCTGAAGCATTACACAAGAAGAATGATATATAATAAAAGGAACAAACATTCAATTACATAATATAACTCAAAATAAAATCTACTCTTTATGTATAAATCAGTGAGATCAAAATTCTTAAAGATAAATTTTTCTACATATGCATCTTTAAATGATTATAAAGATGGTAAAAAATGCCAAAAGTTTTCGTATACAATTTTCCCAAATAAACAGCTTCTCTTCAGCATGAATCATAAAATTTTTAACGAAGTGTTGTTTTAGGTTAAGTGGTTTGTTATATATTTCACAAATGTAAGTTTACTCATCAATAATGAGTTGTTAAATGAACTTTAAGAGTATATTTCCGAGAAAAAGCTCTCTTAACATACTTTACAGATAAAAGGCCGTTCTCCTGTATGGATCTTACAATGTTAAAAAAAATGATGTTTCTGGATAAAAGATTTGTTACATATATTGCAAACGTGAGGCCGCTTTTCAAAGTGAAACCTTAAATGATATTTAAGCTTAGTTTTCAGAGAATAAGCTTTCTTGCAAATGTCACAAATGAAAGGAGGGCTTTTTTTATGAAGTAACAAATGTTTATGAAGATCAGGCATACAAGTAACATACAAGCAAAAGGGACAACAGATGACTTCACTCTTCATTGGAATTTGGTGACCTATAAAATAAAATTAAAAAATTGGTGTATATTATTTCTTAAATGATAAATATAGCACAGTAAAAAACTGATATAAAGACACACTAATAATATTTATTATATATGCATTTTAAAGGATTTATCAGTTCAAAAAAAATTTTTTTTACTTATACAAAATATTTTACTATTTGTGTATACATTTTCTACTCTTACCATAAATTAGAAGATTCTAAATCTTATACTGAAAAAAACTAATGGGCAAAATATGTGAAGTGGAGAAATAAAGAGTAAATGCATAGTTTTTTTAAAAAAATCAATGTCTAATATTTTATAAAAATAACAAATGTTTCTCCAGAATTTAATACACTAATTTTGTACAAGCAAATGGCATAATTTCTCAGGATGGAATTATAAAAACATTTGGGCAATTTTTTAAAATAATTTGTGTGTCTTTTTTTAAAATATTCAATTAAAAACTCATGCATAAAGAACACAGGAAACACAAATTTGTCATAGAAATAAAGCTTTGTAACACAAGAAAATCCCAATAGTAATTCTGAACTAAATCTTAAAACATATTTTTATGAGGAGGGATAGATGACATTTTATAATCAATGCAACATATTGAATATCATGCTTTTGAAGGGGAAAAAAACTTTATTAATGAACATTAACATAACATAATTTTTATTAATAGTTTTATTAATCCAGTTTTTAATAACATAACTTTTATTTATTTAATAACATAATTTTTATTACACTTATTACCACAAACACATTTATATGACAATTCAATGGTATAAATATTTGGTACTTCTTTATTAAAATGGCCCTCAAAATTTAATTGCTCATCAACTGAAATGTAACATGTAGCGAAGTATCACGTAACAAGATATCTCGGTTGATGAACGATTCAATCTTAGGGTTGCTAAAATAAGGAAGTAACAAAAATTTAAATCAACATTTAGATTATATTATTTTTTTCCAAAAAACTTTGTTAAATATTTCATAAACACAATGCCACTCTCCAGTGTGAATAATTCAGATATAATCAGAACAAATTTCTGAATAACTTTACCTAAACACATCTTATGCTTAAAATTGCTAACCAGAATTAAAGTTTAAATGGGAATTAAAAACATACTTTTGAATAAATTTTTTATTACATACGTTACAAACACAGGACCATTTTCCAGTCCTTAAATGATCAACTATATGTGGATTTGATACACAATTTGAAAACGTAACACTGTGCATCAGAGTGATACCTAATATTAAATAAAATTACAATTCGGAGTAAAAAATATTTTGCAGACATCACAGATGAAAGGAAGATATTTCTTATAGCATAGCAAATAATGTGATGATCAGATGTCCTTTCAGCAACATAAAGTAAAAAGGACAATTGAAGACTTCACTATTAACTTGAATCTGGTTAACTATAAAAGAATTTCTATCTATAAATTTAAACAAATTTAAAATTAAGTACTTAAAAAGATATCCTAATTCTATTCCACGAAAAATTTAACTATGACTATAACTTTTAACGAGCAGAAATCTTGAAATCTCACAGTTGGTTAATAAAAATTTTAAGCCATCATACACATTTCTACCTTTGACTTTCTTAAATTAACTACTCATATATAGAGATAAAAAATTACAAGCATCAAGCAAATCTATTTTTTTATACACGCTAGGATTTATAAGTAATAAAAAAGAAAAGGCACAATAATATGAAACTATACCTTAATTTTTGGTTTACAGAATAAAAACATTTGATAATTAACAGAAGAACCATATACCTGTGGCATATCATTCAAGAAAATTTTATTTACTTAGATACTTTAAAACAATGTCAATAGATATAAGCAGAAACCTGAAACTCGCACACTATTAAAAATATAATTAGAACTATTGCATATAGAAGCACTAATATACTGCTTTAGAAATACCTTTTTATTCACAAAAAACTTATACAAATTATCATTTAGATATAATTCAAATCATATGAAATAGATAATATTATACAGAATAAAAGGTACTCTCTGAATACAAAACAACACAAGCAAAACTATGTTGACAAATTTTTCTCCAATAAAAGAATTAAAAAAAAGTAAATACCAGAATTTTGCAAACAGTTACAACATAGCACATTCTTCAAATTCTAATAAAAAAAAAATCGCTGAACACTAGTAGTTCGTTCCGAGGTTCGAATCCCGCGAACGGGCTGGCTGCATGGGCGTTTTCGTGGTTTTCCCCATGTGTAATGTGTATACGAGCAAGTTTCCCTTAGAAAGTCCTCCACGAAGGAAATTTAGTAAAAATGTTCAAGAGGTAGCTTTAGTAGATTTTCCCCTAATTTAATAAAACTTAGTAGCTTCAGTAGATTTTTCCTGATACAGATATGGTTAAAATACATTTTACTGTAGTAGCAGTATTTTCACTTTTGTCACATCACGAAAAAAAAAAAAAAAAAAAGAGAGAGAGAGAGTATGAGAGTTAGAAATAACAAATGAAAAGAAAAAAAATTAGCCTCTTCTGAAGCTAATGTGAAACAATTTATATAACACATAATACAGGAATCACTAAAACCAAACCACTGCATCTGTAATTCTACCCAAGATTTCACTGTAGGTTTTATGCTTCCCTTCTTCACAGAAAAAAAAAATTATATTTAAGCATTCTAAAAAGAAACAACAGAAAAACATTACAGATCCATGACAATATTGTAATTTACAACATTACACCATTTTAGTTTATGCAAAATTACCTTAATTATCCATCATGATAAATAAATTTCTGGCAATTTATTTATTCAACACACCATTTACATTTGTTGCACATAAAAATGCACACATTTTACAAAAATATGGATTTTAGGAAGCCTGCAAAATCTATGTATAAATTAAAACTGAAACCCAGTATGTAACATTTAGCATAATTCTGAAACATGGTTTATATTAGATATGCAACTAATATAAATTTTAATGCCCTTTAACAATAAAATGTGTACAAAATAACAAACATCTTCATCAAATTTTAATCCCCCTCAAGCAAGCTTCCTTCAGAGTACTAATACACAAACTAATCATTTTTAATAATAGTACATGAAGAAGTGTGAGCAATATAAAATAAAAAGAGCGAGCTGGATATACACAAAGTATAATTTCTAAATACATTTCACAGTGATTATTGTACATCACAAAATATATGTGGGACAAAAGGAAATCCAATAAAAATATTTCATGGAAAATATAAGCAATAGCACCAAATATATTCACTGGAGCAAAATAATCTTTAAAAAAAAGTACACAGCTCATTTATCAAGAAAACAGAAAAACAAGTACAGAATTCTCCTGTAGCAAAAATCAGCAACAAAAATGAGAAAATAACACTAGTACTAAGAAAAAAGACAAGGAGGAGCTACTAGGAGAGCACAAAGAACTGTGTAGACACTTTTTTGACACTTCACTAAACCTAGCTATGAGCTATTGTTAATTCTTATAGAACTGTAAAAAGTCATACATTATCCGCTACAGAGTAAAACAATCAATGTATGCAAAATCCCATTAATTAATATTTATCAGGCAACAGTTAATTTTTGACAACATATAATTCAAAAATTGATTTGAAATGCATGCCAGCAACAATCCAAATGAAAAGATTCATGAATTGTGGCAGGTAAAGATAGCTAGCAATGCTCCAGTTTCTAATTTTATGCCTTTACTATGGAAAATGCTTCCCAGTAATAAATCAAATTGTTCTCTTTTTGCCAATTTTGTGACTTTCAGGCTAATTTTTCTTTTTAAATTCAATCTGAGCTGTCTTAAGTACTGTAGACGTTTGTAGAAATTTTAATGAAGATTCAACCAATATTTTGTATTTTAATCTTCTTTACATTTGTTAATGGTACATTACTAAGATTATCTATGCAATTAGTATGTACAATACTGAAATTTAAAATATCCATTTGAATATTAATATACTATTTTAGATCAAGACCATATGCTCTGAACTGTGCATTACACAGTGAATTTAAATCTAACAGAAGGTCTTTTGAAATGGCATTGTAAAAATATCCCAGAAATTACCTGCTTTTTATATTTCAGGTTGACAGTTATACCATTGAATAAATGTATCTGTGCTCTTTTTAGGATAAAAATTCAAAACATAAAATTTTAGTGCATTAATTATTGTGGTATTGTGTTTTATAATGTGTAACAGCAATTTTAATATTCTTCAAAACTATTTTATTTTGATGATGATATACTGATTATGTAACGTGTTCTATTTTACAAATCAGAAATATACTTTAAGATATAGTTGTTAATATTCTTTGGGATTCTTGTTAATTTCATAAAAATTATTGATTATGTTAATGTAAGAAACTTGATGTTTTATGGGTAATTTAATAATTCACCAATATAAAAATTTAAATCAACATTAGATTACATTATATTTTCCCTAAATGCTTTGTTTCATACTTCACAAACATAAGGCCACTCTGCAGTCTTAATAATTAGAAGACCATTAAGAACATATTCTTGAGTAAAATTTTAGTTACATACATCTCAAGCCTAAGATCACTCACCAGAATTAAGGTTTAAATGGAAAGTAAGGACTTGCTTTAGAGTAAATAGTATGGTATATTTAAGATAGTATATACTTCATATACTATACCAATACTACTATTAGTATGCTACATACTTCACACAGATATACTAGTATGCTATATACTTCACAAACATAGGACCGTTTTTTCCTGTATGATTCTTTAAATTATCAGATACATGACTTTTTTTTTAACAGTTTTATTCCACATTTCAGAAATCAAATGAAAGTGATCCTATATCAGGAATCGGCAAGCTACGACATGCAGGTCACCAAGTGAAACACCCGAGTTCCAAAAATATGTAAATTATATAACAAACATGTATATACGTAAAAGGCAAATTTAAAGTTAAAATAATTAAAAAATGTGCAAACATATAAAAGATTTAATTTTTGAACTAATCTACAAT